AGTTCCAGGACAGGTTCCAAAGCTACAGAAAAACCTTGTCTCGAAAAAAACAAAAATAAAACAACTTTTATTAGAATGCTAAAGGCAAAAATATGATATAAAGAAAGAATATGGGACGAAGAGAAACAATAACTGTAGACAGGAACAGAAAAGAGAGCAGAAGAAAATGTGCGGTCTAAAGGCAGGTGTTTTTAAAGATGGGTAATGTTATAGATGCTTGGGTACTACAATAAAGAATGAGTAGATCAAGAAGGAACCATGGATGCAGGAGAAAGGGGGCTAATTGTAGGAGCTATGCTCCTTAGCAGGTTTGGGGACAGCATTCAGTACATAATTGGAGAGTTAATCTTAGAAAATCTATGACCATAGAGATGTTGTCTGTGTATAGTGGGAGGAAAGATAATTAGAAATGAGCAGGTCTAGGAACCTAGAGGCTATCTGTTAGACAGATGTCATAAATTGTGACACCTATGCCCCTAGTACAAACAGTAGCAGTGAGGAAAAAGATGGTTTAGAACAAGAGAGAGTTAGCCAGGAGATCATCCTGTGGTACTGTGTTACAATAGTGTATGCTACAGAGACTGCAGGTTTTTGTTTGGTTTCCTTTGTTTGTTTTGAGGCAGGGTCTTACTATAGCACAAGATGACCTTGAACTTGCTACGTAGTGATCTTGAACTTATGACTCTGAGGAATATTGGACTGAACATTTCTTTTGCACCACATTTTATTGCTAGATTTTTGAAACATTCAGCACTCAAGAGCGATGGCTCAGTGGTTAAGAACTCTTGGGTTCAGTTTTCAGCACCCACGTTGTCTCACAATCATCTATAACTGTAGTGCTGTGGATTCTGATACCCTTTTCTGGTGTGCAGATATGCATGCAGACAAATGCCCACATACATAAAAAAGATACAATTTAATATTCAGTTCATGAATTGATGAATCTATGCTCTAAGTAGCAATGGCTACTTGCATTTCAGAAAGAGAGACATTGTTTCTTTGGCAAGAGGTTTCTGGTATGATGTCCTCTTTAAGATAAACAGACGAAATGAAAATCTGATCAGTCCTCCAACTCTTAAGAGTTAGGAGCAGTGGGAAAAATAGAAGGTGTTCTCTGAGGACAAACCACCTGATTTCCTCTGGAAAAAATAAACTATGAGCAAAATCTATAAAACAGACAAATCAACCAATTGAAATGTATGGCTGGCAACTAGATCTAATTCTTAGAAATAGAAAATAAACCCTATGATTGGGTATTTGATGATTCTCATGGTGTTCTAAATGTGTGTCTGATAGTGATTTTATATTCTGTGCATATGCATGCATATACCCATGTATAATGACATTTTAAGAAATATTCAGGGCATGGGGCAGAGAGCTGCAGAACCAACTTCCTCCGTAGGGTAAGGGTTGTCTCTGCCCTGTTAAGGCAGCAGGCCTGGGAAGCAGCAGCAAGCCTGGGAAGCAACAGTGAGAATTGGGTGGGTGGGAGGTAGTTAGGTAGGTTAAAATTTATTAAAAAATAAAACAAAAAATAAAAGAAATATCCATTGCTGAATATTTTATCTGTTGATAGAGAAAAATGAAAGCAAATTTATTGTGATTTGGTGATGAAAAAATATGCTTTATAAAGTTAGTAATTAGAACATATTTATCCTATTTTCTAGACTATTATGGAAATAATTAATTTTTATGTCCATGTATAAATAAGAACAACACTACTAACCCAATAAAATTTTCCAGAAAACTCAAGCATTTCTCAGAGAAGAAATGTGTATGATATTATTCTACAAGTACTAGATATTGTATAATTCCACAAGCTTTCTAGTTATGTTAGCATAGCAAACTATTTTTAGAAAACAACTGTCACCTGAAATTGAGCATTTACATGTACTGTAACTTGGAAATTCAAGTCATCAGTATTTAGAGAAAGATTGCACCTTGTACAAAAATGTTCAAGCAGCACACAGAATTGTAGAAATAGGCTCCGTAATCTTCTGTGGTAGAGAGATGAATAAGGGACTCTGGTAATAGAAGGATAAGTAAACAAATATGGTGAATATTATATACTAGTCATATCACATAGCTGTAGCACACAGCAATATTGACTGATTCTTAAACAAGTTCCGCAACATTACATGATATATACCATTTTAGATCTAAAACCATTAAGATAGATACAAGAATAGGAATCACTATTAAATAGAAACATAAACATGTATGTATATTTTGATATAGCAAATAAAACTAAAAGCAAAGAAAGAGAAGGCTGCACAGGGTTCAGGACAGAGACTCTCTTGGGGAAGGGCAAGGGGAAGTAGGGAGGAGCTGTGGTTCTATGTGGTTATATTGGCAAGGCCCTGCCTTACTGTGTGGATAATGGTTTTGTGTTACTTACTGGGATTTTATTGAAAACAGCAATCAGCTAAAGAAAAGGCCATTCACAAAGCAAAGAAAATCAATGTCAGCAGTCCAGGATAATGATCACTACATTTTTATACAACTGAGTTAAAATTGATGAAAATCTTACTCTATGTAACTTGACAATATAAATAATATTTTAAAATCTTAATAGACATGACCACCAAACAGGGATGTGCATTAATGCTGATTTTTGGGTCACTCCAAAAAGATTACTTTTTTCCTTGAATCATATTGTAACATGAGGACCGGCTTGTTGGGGTATCTGTTCCTGCCTGGTACCCCACAGCTGGCAAGTCCCAGAGAAAATCACACACAGGACTCCATAAGATTATAAACTGATTGGCCCATTAGGTCAGGCTACTTATTAGTTCTTATGACTTATATTAATCCGTTATCATTATCTATGTTAGCCATAATGGCTCAGTACCTTTTCCAGCGGGGGCCCTACCTCTACTTCCTGTCTGGTTGACCCGCTTATACTTCCTGCCTGGCCAATCAGCGTTTTATTAAAATACATGATTGACAGAATACAGACAATTCTCCCACACCATCATATATGCTACTTTGTTTGTTTATTGCATAAAAATGCCTGTAACCTTACCAGCTGGACATTACTTAGGGATTGTCTGGATAATTGCTTTTTCCTTCCATAATTAATAATATTTCTAAAAAATTTCCTAAAGCACATTATTTTGCATTTCTGTTACACTAAAAGACTGCTGTTATATGTGAATGACTAGTTATCATTATATTTCTTAAAATATTTTTTATAATTATTCGAAGTTACCTTTTAATAATCCATCAACTTGCCTTTCCTGCCAACTCTCAAATAGGAAGCTATTTTCTTCGGGTTCCTCTTTTTCCAGAAATTGTTACTCATTGTTAATTAAAATTTTATTGGTTGAAATTTTGCCTTTTTTTTAACTTTTAGGTTATTCTTGTATTGATCCAAACTACTTATATTTTAAAATGGTAATTTATACATTAATTAAAATACTTTGTAAGTACTTTGCCAGATGCAAACTCATTCATCAAATTATTATCATTATAAAACATGCAATTACAAACTGATAGGTATGTGTTGTAAATCTAAGGTAAATATGTTCGTGCATCAAATTATTATCATTATAAAACATGCAATTACAAACTGATAGGTATGTGTTGTAAATCTAAGGTAAATATGTTCGTGCAAGCAAATTGCCACTCGGAAGGTGGCCTGTAAGCTGAATTCCAAAGGATGTCTGTAAGGAGGTACTAAAGGATGTACCTCAAAGGGAGGTATACCAGGCTATATAAACTAGCCTGTATAAAAACGTTGCAGTGGGGGAAGTAAAGCATGATTAATAAAAAGTAGTGGGGCCACAATTGTGGGAACTATGTTTGAGAAATAACAGAGGGGGCCTGATTAATTGAAACCTTAAGAGAGAAAGAAAACTTCTGGTCCTGAAGCTCAGATGTGTGTCTGAAGAGAATCCTTATTCAGTGCCTAACCACAGCTAGATTGCAAGTTCCCCCAATAGAGGATCTGACTTCTCCTAGTCTCACACAAGGACAGTACAAGGAGGTATTCAGTAAGTACTAAGAGTCCTTATTTGGTTGGTTATGCCTGGCACATAGTGAGAGCTCAGTCGTGATAGCCAGTTTTCGTGCTATAATTTGGTGTGTGATGGTGTATGCTGTAGAGTTAGAGGCTTCATGAGATAATTCAGCCCAGCAGTATCCTGTAAAGATTTGTGGTATATTCCAAAAGACCTGCAGCTAAGATTATTTGAGTTTCATCATTTCATTCATGCCTCATCCAGAATGGATGAGCCCAAATGTGATTGGTAACAATAAATAAGATCAGAAAAAATAAGTTTGATAACAGTAGATGCTTTCACCTACTCTGTTTTTTTTTTTTGATCACTTTGATGCCTGTCAAAATAGCCTTCTTCAAACTATTTCTTTTAGAGTTCCTAAATAAAATTATCTTTCCACAGTTCGTGTGAAATAGTCTCAACTTTATTTCTGTTATGGTTATTTGCTTTACATTAAATAGGATACCCTGGCATTTGTGTCTTTGAAGACTAAAGATTACCATTAGAAGTGTTTTCCAGGCCAAATAAGGTGGTATACACCTGTAATTCCAGGAAGATAATGAGTTTGCGGCAAGCCTAGATTCTATATGATGAGCTTCTATCTCAAAGAAAAAAGCCCAAGACAGAAATATTTGCTGTGGAATAGTCCTCTTGTACATTATAAAGATTTGTCACTCATTTGTTTAATGAAATTTTTTCATGTGTTTAATTTACACATGATGTATTTTCTCTTAGTATAGCTTGTAAAGATTTCAAAGATAACAGCAATCTGAGAAGCAGAAATCTGAAGGAAAGTCTACAAGTCTCAGGAAGTCAGATACTTTTATAATGTTCTTCCATGCTTATGGTTCTGGGATTAGTTGGTAACCACTGTTAATCTGTTGCCCTTCTACAGTATTATACAATATTGGATATGAAATTGTAACAAGAATAGTAGATGAGGTTGATTGTTGTGGAAGCACAGCTTTGTATTAACATCCTTTTTTGTTTATGAAAAAGATACCAGGTGATCAGCACCCCAACAGACTTTTTTATGGTGATGGAATATGTGTCTGGAGGTGAATTATTCGACTACATCTGTAAACATGGGCGGGTGAGTGCTGGACCATCTATTAACAACCCCCAGCCCCGAGCTAGGAAAGGGGAAAGCATTGAAGTAGCCAACCACAAAGATAATTTTCAGTGCTTTAAATTGTTTCTGTACTAGTGTCAACTGCACATGCAGAACATATTTTCTTCCTCCAGAGGCAGCCCTTTGAGATACAGATTTGAAAACCATAGCCCACTTAATCGCCAAAAGATCCTTGTGCTTTTCCAGGTCTGTTCTGTATAAAATCATGCTGAAGCTTCAGTTATTTCCTTTTCTTAGCATTTTCATTTAAGTTCTGTTTTAGCTGGTTGTATTGATTCCCTAAAACATTGTGCATATTTAATATTAGTTGAAAATTGGACGTCGTTGCCATTCAGCAAAGCCAAACCTATCGAATAATATTTTGAGCTTTGACAAAGCTTTGGCTGCTTTGCTCTGTCTGATCTGTTGGATTTCTAACTAGTCAATTCTAAATTCGCCTGCTCAGTTATATTTAGACTGGTTATGAAACTGAATGCATAATAAATAGATGTCCTAGATAGTCTTGATGCAGCTTCTTTTCTATGTGCTAGGTTGAAGAGGTGGAAGCCCGGCGGCTCTTTCAGCAGATCCTGTCTGCTGTGGATTACTGTCACAGGCATATGGTTGTCCATCGGGACCTGAAACCAGAAAATGTGCTTCTGGATGCTCAGATGAACGCTAAGATTGCTGACTTTGGTATGCTACTCCATGGTTGTTCAGAGCTGTGTAGCACCTTTAAAATGGACCAGTAACTCCTCTTACAGAGCTAAGAACTTTCCGTTTCACCCACACAAATTCTTTTACACAAAAAGGGATTAATTACAGTCTTTACCCTGGCTTATCCTTTTATTTAAATCCACATGAAAAGTGCTGAGGTTTCTACAACACATTAGAAGGCCACATCAAGACAGATATTTCTTCCTAAGGCAATGGATGGTACCTGTTTTGTTTTTTGGGTTTTCTTTTGTGTGGGGGAGCGGCTGGGATGAGAAAGGAGTCCCAAACTTCTTTGAGAACTTTGTTGATATAGTGGCTGCTTTCCCTGATGTATATAAACAAGTGTGAAAAATTGTATTCAGTCGTAAAATCTTGGTGCTCCTTCTGAACTGATCATGGAAAGACCTGTAAATCTTAGGACAACATCTAATAACTTATGAGAGAATGGGACTTTGGTCCTGCGTAAAAGACAAGGTAAAATGTATGTTTTTATATTCCTTACACTAAACAGACCCAGAAAGGCTTCCACAGTGGATGTTTGAGGAAAAGATTGTGATCTGACCCTAAGAAGAAAGGGAGGGGAGGTGCAAAGTCAGTGTTCCATATTATATATAGGCTTTCTGTTTTATGCCTGCCGTTAAACTAGCTTAGGTTCAAACTCTTCTATTAAGTGGTTCAGTTAGAGTTTGGCTCAGTAGATTATTTCCAGAGCTCTTTAGATTATAAACCTTTCCCAGGAAGTTGAAGCAGGAAGCCCTCCTATCTGCTTGTGCTCAGTCCCACCTGAACAGCAATGAGACCATGTCCAGGGAAACACTGTCAGCTGGGCTGCTCTGCTGTCTAATTACAAGACAGGCAGAGAGAGAGAGAGAGAGAGAGAGAGAGAGAGAGAGAGAGAGAGAGAGAGAGAGAGACACACTCACAGAGAGAGAGAGAGAGAGAGAGAGAGAGAGAGAGAGAGAGAGACACACACACACACACACACAGAGAGAGAGAGAGAGAGAGAGAGAGAGAGAGAGAGAGAGAGAGACTGGTCAGGAACTTACTCTTGTAGATCAGGCTGGCTTCAAACTCACAGAGATCCCCCTGCCTCTGCCTCCTGAGCACTGGAATTAAAGATGTAGTGTCCAATTACAACCTTTCAAGAAAGACTTAGAAGCAAACTATTTTTGTTTGTTTTAATTAGCAGTCTTTTATTTCTTCATATACAGATGTAGGTAATATTTGGTGCTTATATTTTTGAAAATAGTAATATAATTTCAAATAACCTTTTTGTGAAGAGTCAAAATTTTCATGTAGTGAGGTTCATTCCACTTATACATGTGGTGCTCTTTTGCTTTCTGTATGATGATGTAAGGTCCATAAAAATAATCTCTTTCTAGTTTAACAGTACTTTCTGTTACTTTAAAAATTAGTGTGTGTGTGTGTGTGTGTGTGTGTGTGCGCGCACGTGTGTGTGTGTGTGTGTGTGTGTGTGTGTGTGTTAGAGGAGTAGACTCAGGAGTCAGTTCTCTCCTGCCTCCTTGTGTGATCCAGGAATTGAACTCAGGTTGTCAACTTTGCTAAAGTGTCTTGGCCTACTGAGCTATCTTGCCACTCACCTTTACTCTAAAATAAAGAATGATTTCTGAAGCATGGTTTTCATCATAGTTTTACCTATATCTGCAATATCCAGCATCTGATAAATTGCTTTTCTTTTTAGGACTATCTAATATGATGTCAGATGGTGAATTTCTGCGAACCAGCTGTGGATCACCGAACTATGCAGCACCTGAGGTCATCTCAGGAAGGTAATAGTTTATTAGTGATAAGTAAGCTTTCTGTGACCTCGCATCTATTCTAGTAGCATTTAATTATATTTTCTTAGGAAGAACATTTTTAACATAGTAGAAATACATTGTTCATTTATTTTTTATTACTGGCACAATAGTAATATATTTTTTAAAAACCCCATATAGGCCTTGCAATGTGTTCATGCATTTTGTTCAGTGGCAGTGACCGAGACAGATCTGATGCAGTGTCTATATTCTAGTGTAGAAAATGTCAAGTAACAGTAGGGATTTGCTAAAATTTAAGCCAGTGTCTTTGCTTAGCAGACATAGTTATTTAATAGTATTTCCACATACTTTACAGAGTCTGAAGGTAGTCGTTTTATATTTTTTTTTCCTTTGAAAGAATGAAATTTGAGTGACAGTATGATTTCAAACAGATAAACTAGACAAGTGACTTCGAAGTCCCTCACGTAATTAGCTCATTGGTATATTATAAAATATTTACGAAGCTGTAGAGATGAATCAAGCCATTCCACAGTGGCTGGTGGCTGGTTTTGAAAGTTAACAGACTACTTTGAGAGAAAGTATTGAAATGGTGCTTACAAGTAGCAGGTTGTGGGTCTTAGTTCATCATACCATACCATACACCGTGCCATAGAAACAAGAGCAGTCTGTCCTGGAGCCACAGGATTGGGTGTGTGTAGAGCCTGGTCCTCACAGCCCACTGTCTTTCAGTTTTAAGCATGTGTGGTTCCAGGGGAATGGGATCTCTCTAGGGTAGTCTTTTATAAGGGCACTAGCCTTCTTTGTGAGAGTTCCACCTCACGGCCAGATCTCCTTATGACCTTTACCTCCTCAGACTGTCATTTTGAGGTGAGAATTTCAGCTGATGGGTTTTAGGGAACAGAAGTGTTTTATGAGAGCTTAGGTGATATTAGGGACACCCTCTACTGAAGCAGATGGGGTGCTTTCCATGGAATTGAGGAAATGTGTTACCTCAGATCCAAGTTTGACTATTGATGTGCTACTGGGGAATGGCAGGATGGTAGAAAGGTTAGAGAAATAGTGAGGGGTGAGTGGTGCAGACGTGGGTTGTCTAGAGCCAAACTGTCTTAGTCTACCCAGTTAGCAGATGGTTTGAAATGAAGCAGTCGGAGCTCTGTCGTATTGGGCCTGGGCAGATGGCTCAGTGCTTAGGAGCACTTGCTCCTCTTCAGAGGACCCACGTTTGATTTCAGGTACTCACATCAGGGCTCTAAACTGCCTGTCACTCCCGTTCCTGGGACTCTGACACCCTCTTCTGGCCGCTCCAAGTATCAGACACACAAATACCGCACATGCAATCAACACACAAAAATAAAATTAAAAAAAATTTTTTTTAGAAAAGTTGATGTTATATAAGTTAAACACTGTCAATATGCTACCAGTTAAATATTTCAATGTTTCAGATTTTGTTTGGTGTGGACTAGGAGCAAAAATTTTGTCTAGTATGCATTTTCTTTATTGAAATAGTTCTGAGGGGGAAAACCATTATATATGTTATTGTATTTTTTCTAGTTTTTGGTTATCTACTGTTATGTTTTCTTAAAGTAATGAAAGAGAAATTATAATTTATTTTTGTTAGTTGGTTTGTTTTCGAGACAGAGTCTTACACTAAATAGCTTGGGACTCTCTAGACCAGGCTGGCCTCAAATTTACAGAGATCCGCCGGCCTCTGTCTCCTGAGTGCTGGGATTAAAGCATGCCTGGCCTGAAAGTCTAATAAATTTTAATTAGCACTTATAATTTTTTTAACAAATAAAAATAACATCTTTTGGCAAAATTTTAGTAACTAATTAGAATTAGGCTCATTATTTTCTATGAAGAGTAATCATTAGGGTTTGGGAACTGCTGTGTATTTCATTGAAAACCTTAAATAGCGATATATACCAAGTAGGCTTGCATTTTGCATGTATGGAAGCAGGATATTAACAATGGGATATTAACAATAGTGCCTGCACTGAGGCCTGTGTCATCCTTTCTCAGGCTGTATGCAGGCCCCGAGGTTGATATCTGGAGCTGTGGCGTTATCCTGTATGCCCTTCTTTGCGGCACCCTCCCCTTCGATGACGAGCACGTGCCTACACTCTTTAAGAAGATCCGAGGGGGTGTGTTTTATATCCCGGAATATCTCAACCGCTCTGTTGCCACTCTGCTGATGCACATGCTACAGGTGGACCCCTTAAAGCGAGCAACTATCAAGGACATCCGGTGATTATACTGTTTGCTGTTCTGTACATCTTCTCATTGTAGTAACAGTGATACTAGAATATTTGCTTCACGTAGACACTTTATCTTATGAGAATCTTAAGGCCAAATGTGTGGTATGTGCTTGTCATCCCAGCATTTACCTAGGAGGATGAGGCAGGAGGATCTCAAGTTCAAAGCCAGCATAGACTACAAAGTGAGACCCTGTCTCAAAGAAAAAGAATTTGTAGTATTTGAACTTATTATGCAAACCTGGTTATGTCACTTGTCTTTCAAATATTTTACATTGCTTTTGTGCTTATTAACATAAGTAACAAAGCATCGAAGGCCTGTATAGGAAGGATGCAGTCTCCTAGAGTCTCATTCCTTCCCCACTGCATCCTTCCCATTAGGCTGTAGGGCCTGCACCCTTAGTTAGATTATTTTGTATCCTGATTCTTTTCTGCATCTTCTGACCTCATAGCATTCTAGTCCTCTTTCATGTTTTGCTCACATGCCACCAGCTTAGTGAAATCATTTCTGGTTCCCCCACACTGTATAGCGCTTCTGGTTGTTCAGCATGTGCCTGAACACGCGCCTTGTTACTCCGTTCTTGTACTGTGTCTGTCCTGTCTCAGCCCATCATCTCTCTTGCATTATGACTATCGGGGTACAAATTGTCTTAAGATGTAGGTGGAGGCCCCTTGTTTGTTCCTGGCTACTCAGACCACAAAATAATCACTCAGAAACTATATTATTTGCAATACTGTTTGGCCAATAGCTTGAGCGTATTACTAGCTAGCTCTTATATTTAGAATTAACTCATTTCTATTATTTTGTACTTTACTACGAGGCTCGTGGCCTACCTACAAGGTTCCAGCAGGCAGCTCATGTCCTTCCCCTCTGGCGGCTACATGGCATCTCACTGACTCCGCCTACTCTCTATGTCTCTTTCACCCTGGCTTTACTCTGTTAGGACATTGGCCAAAAGCAGCTTCTTTATTAACCAATGGCAATAGAACACATTCCCGGCATGCATCACCTCCCACATCATTAAGAACCTTTCTATTCACCTGTTACTTCACTACTGTTGAGAGAGTGGAACTTCAGGAGGGATCTGAAGATTCAGGTGTGAAAATGGGAGAACTTTGTGTTGTAGATGTGGTTGATGAAGTAAAAGATTGCCTTTGTTCAATTCTTACCACTATAAAACTGGCTTACCTTTTATAAATTTATAGTATCTAATACAACGAAAATGCTATATAAATACAGAAGCATGAGACCTGTTTGAACATGTTCAATTCAGATGCATGCATTCTCTTCCGCCCCTCCCGCACTTTTCTACATCCCCCGCCTTCACCTTTTTCACTGTACCCTTGTGCCCCCATATTTCCCCTGCCCCTTGTATGTTTCAGATGTTTGGTTTCCATCCCCACCTTCCTGTCTTACAGGTCCATTTCTGTTTTCCTGGCTTCTAACCACACTATCATTTAGAAGTTAGAATCCTAGTAGGAGAGGACATGGAGTATTTGTCTTTCTGAGCTTCACTTAATGGTTACCTTACTAAGTTTATTTAAGAATATAAGTTTTGTTAAGTTTTTGATCCAATAGCCACTATTGGATTTACTGTGGAGAATCCCTTGATTGTTGAGGGATTGAGTAGCATACTGGCAAGTGCCTCCACATGTTATGTATGTTTTTAGAGGTATGACGTGATGCCTCTACATGTTATGTGTGTTTTTAGAGGAATGACGTGAGATGCCTCCACATGTTATGTATGTTTTTAGAGGTATGACGTGATGCCTCTACATGTTATGTATGTTTTTAGAGGAATGACATGATTCTTCTACATGTTATGTATGTTTTTAGAAGTGTGATGTGATGCCTCTACACGTTATGTATGTTTTTAGAGGGATGACGTGAGATGCCTCCACATGCTATGTATGTTTTTAGAGGTATGACGTGATGCCTCTACATGTTATGTGTGTTTTTAGAGGGATGACGTGAGATGCCTCCACATGCTATGTATGTTTTTAGAGGGATGACGTGATGCCTCTACATGTTATGTATGATTTTTAGAGAAATGACATGATTCTTCTACATGTTATGTATGTTTTTAGAAGTGTGATGTGATGCCTCTACATGTTATGTATGTTTTTAGAGGGATGACATGATGCTTCTACATGTTATGTATGATTTTAGAGGAATGACATGTTATGTATGTTTTTAGCGGACTTTTGTTTTTATCTTAGGTTCCAAAGGTTGTTTAAGAAGCACATTCTTCTGACATCTTTCAGAATCTTTCCCCTTTCCCCCAGAGCCAGAATAAGTGTTTTGATATGCGTATCCTGTGGAGCATTCAGAGGGCAGTGAAGTGGTGGTTTATGCTGGCTGCTGCTGTTCTCTTGTAAGCAAGGACTTACATATATAGGTATCTCTTTCCTCCTGGCAAGAAACAACTTAAGGGAGGAAGGATTTAATTTGGTTCAATGCTTGGGGAGATGTAGTCCATTATGGTGATGAAGGCATCGCTGCAGACATGGGGAAGGCCGTGTGTCTGCAGTCAGGAAGCAGAGTCAGTAGGAATGTGCTGTGCTATGAGGCCTAACCCAGTGACCTCCTTTGTTAAAGTGAAGCTCCACCTCCTAACAGATTTCATAGACTTCCTAAGCAGCAGCACTAGCTGGGAGTCACACGTCCTAATGCCGGCACTTGTGGGGTTGTCCTGCACTCAGACCACAGCATTGTTTACTTCCCCTGGCTTGTCCCAGTGTCCAGGCATCGTGCACACGAATGTATACCTGTAGAATTGCTGCCAGATTCAGTTATGGACGTGCAGCAACAGGGAAGAGACCTCTGTTCACAATTCTGTCGGAAAAATACTTCTTCTAATGGGTCCAGAAGAAAAATCAGAGATGCTAATATGTTTGTACTTGCTTATGTGAGCCCTTATAAATTTATAATAGTGACAGGATTAATTCTGTTACTTCAAAATAAGTTTTCATATGTTTACAGACTTTAGAAGAAAAAATATAAATGAATCTGTTAAAATGAGTTAATTGACCCATAGGAAGTGCTGTAAAATCATGATATTCTGGACTGGCAGGATGGCTTAACCATTAGAGGCTAAGACTCACAACCAAAAGGACAAAATAATGGCAACATTTCTATACTTAAAGTAATAACTTAGAGTTATAGTTCTCACTATTTTATGTTTGACATTTTAGTATGAGTATTTTAATTTGATAAAGTATACTTCAACAGGCATAAAGATTAAAACTTTTGACAGTTGATTAACATCAAGCATTATACTATACATTTAACCTGTTTTGTTGCACTGACTGTTCATAGGTAGCTGTTATATTATTTTCCAACAATAAAACTGAAACTTAGGTTATATCATGATTCGTTTATATATCTGTTTGTTTCTATCTAAGTGTAAGTTACTTTAAATTAGGGACTGCATTTTCATACTAAAATATGCCATGTGTGGCTTTATATTTAAGGTGAACTATCCTGTTTGTCAAAGACAGTGGTTGTAACTTAGTTTTCATACTTATTTACGGAGTCCCCAGTTTGATCCCCAGCAGTGCATAAACTGGGTGTGGGCTGCACATCTATAATCCCAGTCCTGAGGAGGTGAGGGTAAGGATTAGAAGTTCAGGGTCATCTTTAGCTACAGAGCAAGTCCAAGGTCTGCCTGGACTACCTATAAATGGACAAGTTTAAGTTTTAATATCTCTTTACTTTCTTGATATTGAGCACCTCAAATAATTTTTTAGTGAATGATATACCAGTAGTTAGCATATAATAATTAAAATTAGAATTTAATTTATTTAAAAATCTGTTCATTTAAATGTCTTAAACAAACAAACAAACAAAAAAACCCCAAGGATTTGATCTAGAGCCTTGCAATTCCTAGGCAAACACCCTACCACTGAGTTACATCTCTGTTCCCTTCCCCCACCTCCTTTTACATTTTAGTTGAGATAAGGTCTCACTAATTTCTTTTGTAGCCAAAACAAGCCTTGACCTTGAGACTCTTCTGAATCGCCCTCTGAACAGCTAGGATAATAACTGTGTACCACCAAGCCTAATAGTAGTCTCTCTGTACACTTTTATAAATGTTGTCGGTGGCTAGTTTAATCAAATTCTCAATTAAATTCTTCATTTAATCTTGCAGTTTTGTTTGTTTTGGGTTTTTCGAAACAGGGTTTCTCTGTGTAACAGCCCTGGCTGTCTTGGAACTCACTTTATAGACCAGGCTGGCCTCAAACTCACAGAGATTCACCAGTCTCTGCCTCCCAAGTGCTGGGATTAAACCACCACCAGGCTAATCTTGCAATATTTTATATTAGTTGAAGGTCTTGAGGAAAATCTGAACTCAGGTAAGTGTCTGAGAAATAAAAGAGTACTTAATACCCATCAGATAATAGTAATATTCGTTGATATTAAAGCAAAGCTTAACCTGCCAGCTTATAGTTTGCAATATCAAATAAGAAAAAAATCAATTAACTTTTGTACTTTATCACACTATAGGGATATAATGTTTTAAATTTTAAGTGATTCTTATATGCCTGTATGCTTCTGTCATATCATTGAGAGATCTTGCATTATTGAAATAGACAGATTTCTTACATTTCATTTTACACTATCAAAAATCATATTCATTATTATCAATACTAACTTCATCAGAACATCTTTGGGTCTTGAGAAACCGTCAAACCCCAGGAGGCAGGCATAATTATTACACAGCATCTGGAATTTTGATTGGGAACTTAGATTTTATCATTGACCATAAATGTTGCTAGTTGTTTTCCTTGAAGTGACGGACCCACTTTGTTCATTTTCAAGGAAATATTCCAAGTCTGAATATCTGTATTTATTTAAGGCTAGAGATTAGTTAACTGGCCCCAGGGTCACATAGCCTATAGCAGCAGAACTGGAGCTGGAGACCAGGGTTTTGGAGTCTTTGTGTTATATTGCCCCATGTCTAAATTATTTGGAACTTACTAAAGCATGTTCTTACAATAGTGTATATGGTGTTTTTCCTAGAGAACATGAATGGTTTAAACAGGATTTGCCCAGTTACCTATTTCCTGAAGACCCCTCCTATGATGCTAACGTCATTGATGATGAGGCTGTGAAAGAAGTATGTGAAAAATTTGAGTGTACAGAATCAGAAGTAATGAACAGTTTATATAGTGGTGACCCTCAAGACCAACTCGCGGTGGCTTACCATCTTATCATTGACAATCGGAGAATAATGAACCAAGCCAGTGAGTTCTACCTCGCCTCTAGTCCTCCAACTGGTTCTTTTATGGATGACAGTGCCATGCATATTCCCCCAGGCCTGAAACCACATCCTGAAAGGATGCCACCTCTTATAGCAGACAGCCCCAAAGCACGGTGTCCTTTGGATGCACTGAACACAACTAAGCCCAAATCTTTAGCTGTGAAAAAAGCCAAGTGGCATCTTGGAATCCGAAGCCAGAGCAAACCATATGATATTATGGCTGAAGTGTACCGAGCTATGAAGCAGCTGGATTTTGAATGGAAGGTAGGAAATCACAATGTACTAAGGCTGTTTGAAGAGAAATTTTTTTATATAATAAGTTTTCTAAGCAGTTGAGTATTGAGGTCCACATAAAGTTGTTTTTGATTTAGAAATAATTGTAGTGGACTTCATGTTTTTGATAGACACGGTTCATTCTTTTAAACTGTATAACACACTATCAAAACATAATAAATAAAGGCTAAAGAACTGTCGATGCTGGGAACATATTTTGAGTTACAGAATAGCATTCTTGTCCAAGTAATTGAAATTATCTGAGAAAACAGCCCACCTGTTTCATAGCAACATTTCTGAAATCTGAAATCTTGAAAGGCAATTTCTTCTCACCTTTTCCAGGGTGAATGTTTTCTTTTCATGCTTTTTTGGCACACGTGGTCGATGGCTGTGGCAGTTAGTGTTCAATATATATATTATGTTTCAAGCCTGTTCATTCTGTCAACAAGTAATTTCTCCAAGTTGAGAAATTCTCTTATCTGATGTTTTTCATCCTTGGTTTGCTAGTTCTTTCCTCACCGCTGGGACAAAATCCCTGACAAAGGAACTTAAGGAAGGAAGGGTTTGTTTAGACCCCCAGCCTGAGGATATAGTCCATCCCAAAAGGAAGTCATGGAGGCAGGTGTGAGACAGATGTCTGCCATGAGCAGAAAGCCATGGATGCTGGTGCTCGGTCCAGACTCCAGCATATAAAAAACAGTGCTGCCCACAGTTAGAGTAGACTTTCCCACTTCAGTTTACCCCATCTAAAAAATTTCTCACAGACATGCTCAGAGGTTTGTCTTCTAGGTGACTGTAGACTTTGTCACGCTGACAGTATTAATCATCACAAGCCCTCCCCTGTCAGCTTGATACCTGACCATACCATTTCAGATCTGTAGCCTCCATCTCTTCTCCCCACAGCCATGGCCATCTCATGGTTTGAAATGCATTCAGCACGATTTCAAAGGTCCCGTAGTCTGTAACGGTGCCAGTGCTGTTGAGTTTTAACTGTCACACTTGATTATGGTGTATTTTCTTACTATCAGCATATATTTTTCTTTTTCAAGTTAACATTTTGTTGCAGCTCAACTCTTTGAATATATATGGGATCATTTTTAAAACTTAAGATATCCCATCAACTGTTATTCTCCTGAAGGTGATGAATACTTAATTTTTTATTTTATTTATTTTGTTTTTACAAGACAGTGCAGGGTCTCACTGTGTAACTATGGCTATCCTGGAACTCACTCTGTAGACCAGGCTGTCCTGGAGCTCATAGAGATCCACCTGCCTCTGCTTCAAAGTGATGGGATTAAAGTCGTGTGCCACTTTAACTGGCCTATATTAATGTTTTGAAATTAAGATAGTTCTTTAACAATTTCGTATATGTAAGGAATGAATTCTTGCTATTCTCTCAACTCTGTATTCTCATATGCCTGTCCCCAGCTCTTCCCTACTTGTCCCTTTCCAGATCTATGAATTAAGGTTTTGTTGATTAAAGGGAAAAACATTCCAAATTTATCATATAAACATTCAAATACATTTTAATAAACAATTTTAATTTGTTTTCATTTCATTATTTTTACATGATTAAGATAACATTCCTTAAATAAAGTCGATTTCCTTTTTCTGAAGCAAGTTTATTTAGTTAAATACGATTTTGCTGGGCATAGTGGCTCATGCCTGTAACAAACACTAGCCCTCCAAGAACCTGAGGCAGAAGAATTTTTATAGACTCAAGACCCTGTGTGGGATTCTGTCTTGCTTTATAAGCATGTAAGTAAAAGAGATGCCAACATTTTAAAATATCCAGGGAAAGAATCTAGAAACTAATCTGACACATTCTGAGAACCAAGTGTTGATGGAAGCTGTTAGTTTGTTCCTGGCTGCCCTGACCCTACATAATCACACAAAAACTATATTATTTGCAATACTGTTTGGTCAATAGCTTAAGCATGTTTCTGGCTAACTCTTATATCCTAACCTAACCCATCTCCGTTATTCTGTGTATTGTCACATGACAGTGGCTTACTGGGTGAAGTTCTATCCATTGTCTGTCTCCAGCAGGGGTACATGGCTTCTCCCTGACTCTGCCTTCTTTCTCCCAGCATTCAGTTTAGTTGTCTCCCCACCTCCACCCCCGACTAGCTCTATTCTGCCCTATCACAGACAAAGCCAGCTTCTTTATTCATTAACCAATAAAAGCAACACATATACAGAAGGACTTCCCACACCAGCCCAAAATCTTTTCATCTGATCTGCAGTTTTACACTATTCTTGGGATATCGTGCTGTTGGTGTTTTATGACTCTACCTGATGTAAGCCATTGTAGGCAGAAGTTTCTGTCCTGCCTAGTCCTAAAGAAACACACAGAGGGTTATATTAATTATGAATTATTTGGCCTATTAACTCAGGATTATTATTAGCTAGCTCTTATAACTTAAATTAACCCATAATTCTTGTCTATGTTTAGCTACTTGGCTTAGTACCTTAGTCAATAAGACATTCTCATCTTACTTCCTCTGCATCTGGCTGATGACTGCATCTCTGCTTTTACTCTTCCCAGAATTCTCCTAGTCTGGTTGCCCCACCTATATATCCTGCCAGCCTACTGGCTAATCAGCTTTTATTAAATCAAAATGAGTGTACAAGAGCATTATCCTACAGCCAGCCACTAATATTTAGCTCTGTTATTCCTTCTGCTCGAAACTACTGAAGCAAAGTCTACTAAGATTATTATTAACACTCTAGAGCAGATCCATATCTGGGTTAAAGGCTATACTCTATAGGATCTGAGTTTTTACAAATGGTATTGATAGTGGGATTAAATATACCAAATTACTTGTGACATAGAAGAAGAATCAAGTATAAATCCTTCTCTCACCTACATTTGATTTTAATATTTTTTGCTAAGATGGGAGACATTGTGTAGTTTTAAGCTTTTATTAATTTCTGGTTCTAGGTAGTGAATGCCTACCATCTTCGAGTAAGAAGAAAAAACCCTGTGACTGGCACTTATGTGAAAATGAGCTTGCAGCTTTACCTGGTTGACAATCGGAGCTATCTTTTAGACTTTAAAAGCATTGATGGTAAGGAGGCTCGCATGGATGAGTTCTTGAGAAATAAAACTTGGCACCATTTGACCTGCTGTCACAATCATCTCAAAGACATGGTGGGTGGAGTCTCTACTTTTTAAAGTAGACCTAACAAAAATGTAGGTGAAATTAAATATGTAAAATGGCCTAAGATGGAAGCTGTCTTCAGATGTCAGCATGCTCACTTTCATATCAGTGGAAGTGCTGCATCCTGTGTTGAGAAGAATTAGGGATGCATCAGCTGTGGAAGTGTTGTGAGTGATTGGCTGGTAACGTGTGATGACTGTGGGAAGGGTGAGATAGCATCTCTTCTCCCAACACTGAACATCACAATCTTTACTAAGCTCCCGGGCTCAGATCTGTTTACTTCCCATTCTCAGTTCAGCAGCTTCAGAAAAGACTTGGACGTGTGCACTTGCTCCATTCACTGTTCTTTGATCTTTCAGATGAGGTGGTAGAGCAGAGGTCTGGTTCCTCAACACCTCAGCGGTCCTGTTCTGCTGCTGGCCTGCACAGACCACGGTCAAGCTTTGATTCCACCACAGCTGAGAATCACTCACTCTCGGGTTCCCTCACTGGCTCTTTGACTGGAAGCACTTTGTCTTCAGCTTCCCCCCGCCTGGGCAGTCACACCATGGATTTTTTTGAAATGTGTGCCAGTCTGATCACTACTTTAGCTCGTTGATAATCTACCACTGGTTTCTTTCTTTCTGTTACTGCACTGTGAAAATCACATATACTCTTAAAAATTAGTATCTCACTTTTGGGTATTACATACTCTGCAATATAAATTGATGTGAATATCCCCAGGTGACATGCCGTGTATTGAAATTACCGGAAACACAGAAGTCTGGCACCTTGTTTACTTTTAGAACTCTATTATTCTACTGTGCCTATGATAAATTTGAATAGGTAGTACCTTTAATGGATAAGTGTTGATGATGTTTGCTAATTTATACTTGTGAGCACTACACGTGATGAGCACACTTCACTGACGGACCAGCTAATTAGGAGTGGTGGTACCTTCTTCCTCATGTGTAGTTTGCTTTTTAAATTTCAAAAGGTGTTAGACTATCTAGGCACTCAGTTTTCTTGCACAAGAAGATTAAGAAATAGAATGTGCTAATCAAATATTTAAAGTAGAAATCTGAAAATCCTGTCCCCCTAAATATTAGAAACCAAATTCTTTTCAATGGTTTCTGCAAATACTGCCTAGTATTAGCCAGAAAGACTGTGTTTCTTTTAACAGGTGCCCAGTATCTAGACTTCTCAACATTTGTACAAGGTCCTAGTTAAATCCCACCACCACCAAGCAAGACAAAACCGTGCAAAAATAGTACATAGTTAAATGAAACAAGGCAAAATACCAACAACCCCTTAAAGGAAATTCTATGTTGATCTCCTGTTTTGTGTTTATGGGCCTGGGGTGGGGCTCACATGGGTTGGGAGGGCCAGGAGGTTATGACCTTCTGACTCTTCACTAATTCACCTGAGGTCTAAGTTGTTATTGATGCCACCTCCTCCTCGGTGACCATTGTCTTTGTTCATCAGTTTTCAATGTTTTGTTCCCTTTCTTTAATCTTTCAGTTCAAACCCTGTTTTCTTCTTAGGACCTTAGTGTACTTCCAAAACTTATCTGCTGTGACCTTCACTGTTGAACCTGATTGGACAGGGAAGCCTTAAACATTTAAAGTATTTTCTCCTGGAATAAGTATATGTGTTGTTTACATATATACGTGTATGTATTGACACATCAGTGCTTTTAATCAAAAAGAACCAAACTTTTTTGTGAAAGTTTTTTAGTTTAAGATAAAAACACTATAAAGCAGGATAAAGTTAATTGATTATATTTTGTTTTAGTAAAAGTATTTTTAAATTATGTATAATTTATCTAATAATATATTTATTCATTTATTGTGTTTATGTTGTGATTAACAAAATCATTGACTTGATTTATCCTAGGAACTATTAAGCTCTTGAAAATGAAAGAAGCATTGCCTTGACAGGTTTCTCTTTACCAAAAATGGTATATTTTCTGTCTACCAAGGAGAGCAATGAGACTATGAAACTAAGTTTCTCATGTGTTCATGGAAGACAGGTTTGTCTGTCTTTAAATAGCTTTGAAATCATGAGTTTGCATCATATCACATGAGATAATTTTGTAGTTCTTTAGAAAATGATGGTCAATACTTATCACTCTAGTTTTCAGTATCAAAATCTAAAGAACCCTTTCTCCAATTTGAGAAAGTGGGTGGGTGTACAATTAAGGTAACAAGTTTTTAATCTTCGAAAGATTGCCATCTTGTGGCAATAGACGGTAATTTTAGTAGTTATTTTAATAGCAATATTTAGTCCTGTTTTGTCTAATGTGTTTTATGGATGTGGCATAATTTTGACTTCTCCAAATGTATGCATGGCCCTTTGTGTGTGTGTATGGGAGGGAAATACCTGCTCATAATATTTTTCTAATTACGAATGGGAGACTTTGAAATAAGGAAATTATTGGATTCATTACCTCTAATTACAATATCCTCAACAGTTTTGAAGGCAGGAAGGTTGCCAGAATGCTCTCTTAGTCTAGTGAATTTGGTGTTAGGAGCTTGCTCATAGCAAAACTACTTTGTTTGAATAATTATGATGCTATTGGAGAACTAAAAATTATTTACTATTATCTTATTTATTCCAGTGTTTATTAATACCCAGATTGACAGTTGCCTATTGAATTTCAGGAGAACTGAAGGTCATTTTATTTCTTTTCTTTTAACATTTCAAAACTTAATTATTTTATGAGTCTAGGTGATAGAATAAATTGGTTTGCAGAGAGAATTCAGTGACTCATCTAGCAAAATAGAAGCTAGAACTTTGTTGCAGCATAGGTTTTTTTGTTTGTTGGTTGGTTGGTTTTGAGGCTGAGCTTCTCTGTGTAGCAGTCCTAGCTGTGTCCTGGAACTAGCTCTTGTAGACCAGGCTGGCTTTGAACTCACAGAGATCTGCCTGCCTCTGCCTCCCCAGTGCTGGTATTAAAGGTGTGTGCCACCACCACCTGGCTCATAGCACAGTTTTTCTTCTTTGTTCTTGGGAACAGAGAAGGAAAGAGTGCTTTGCAAATTTAAAGTTCCCACACTTCAGTCAACACTGGATATAGCAGGTTCTGAGTTAATATCAAGCTATCCTAGGGAGAATTACTTGTTAGGTTATAGGTGTGGGTCTTATTTATGTCCTGGAAATGGACTCCATCTTGTTCTAAAATAGTTTTTCCTAAAACAAAGAAATACCATGGACTCATTTTGGAAAACGTGTTCTGTACTGCACTTACAGAAGACGGAGTGTTCTGTGCTGCATCTTGCAGAAGCAGCACTAAAATCTTGGATGAGTTCGTTCAGAAAAATCAAGGCACATAATTGTGTGTGGCCCTACTTTGCCTGAACTAGTTTGCTGTTTTAAAACATCTGCTGAGGATGTTGCTTCCCCATAATCCCACTGGGGAGCATGAGGCAGGAAGATACTTTGAGGCCAAACTAGACTAGATAGATATCAAGACCGAGTTTCACAATGTAAACAATAAAGAAGCCTGAACATCCCATAGGAAAGTATGGAAAACAGCTGTCCCCGAGTGCCACACCCAGTGTGATCGTGACACTTCAGACAGCACTCCTTCCCTTTCACTTGCTGAGGACAGCCTGGTTCAGGTTCAGAGCCACGCCGTTTACCTTGCGGGCATGCTTACCCAGAGCTTGTGTCACAGCTTGGGATTCTTAATCAGACTGATGGTTTTTAGGTAGAACTTCTGTTCTTTTCTTCGCTCAGTGGATGACTGGGAAGTCTTAGACAGGTTACTTATGAAAACCAGAAGAATAAGAGACCAATGACTTGCTTATGGCTCCATGGAGAGCCAATCAGTTTGAATTCATTCTTCAATGACCACTGGACATTTTCTAAGTACTTTGATTTGGGAAACCAAAATCAAATCTGTCTCAAATGAAGTCTAAAGGGAGAGAGAAAAGCAAACCATTCACAAATTAGGGTTTTGTTTGGATGAAGAAACCATTTTAGAGCCCCTTGCAACCTCTGGTCATCTGCAGGGGCCCAAGCTAAGCAGAAATGTATGTCCTCGTGTGCCAGGGAAGTGGCTGATTTAGCACTGCGTCATGCAAATAAGTCTTCAAAGATACTTATATAGTTCTGGGTGTCCTTTTTTTCTTAGCTAGTTTGTACTCAGGGAATACAAATTTAATACTTGAGATAAAATGAAATATAATTGGAAAATAATCATGAACAACCAAATCAGATTTTTATACTGCTTTATCTGTAGTATCTACTAATATGTAAGCATGCTCAGTTAATGTGGGCCCCACATTGATGTTTAAAAGATTCAATAGCCTGAAGCATAGCTACCACAGACCCCGGGGCTCTGTCTGCTCACTGGTTAGTAAGTTAAGCTAGTGTGAAGTCTCCTACCTAAATGTGATCTGCTCATAGACGGTGTGGTTTGTGTTGGGTCTGAAGAGCGAGACTCTTCAGTCTGGCATCTCTACCTGTCACCTTTCCTTCAGTTACCTATGACTTTAAAGTAGGGATCAGGGCTTCAGCAGTTCTCAGCAACTCCGCTGAAAAGTTTGGGTGACGGCTGTGTGTATCTCTGAGGAAGTTCCATCTTGGACTTGGCCTCAATTGTGAGACCCTAAAGTACAAGGGATAGGGAGAATGGCTGGTGCCCTTTGAGCTCCAGAACTCAGCCTTGTTTACTTCTTGAGAGAGTTTGTGTTAGTGTCCTGTTCTTATGTATTAGTATTTTATATTGGTATGAAGGTTCTGTCTTGGTTTGAGGCATTTCAAAGGTGTATACACCTGTATTCTAAGCACAGCTTTGTGGACTGCCAGAGTGCAAATGGCAGAAATAGTCAGCAAATCAAGATGCCCACGTGAATTGAGCATTAATCAGAAAGTGGCTGATAATCTTGTGGTGGCAGTGCTAGCAATTTCCAGTTCTGTTCATGTCCCCTTTCAGTGACCAGTCCAGTGGGCAGGGACAGCAGTCTCTCCATAAGTCATGAGTGCCATACGTGGATTCAGTGGTACCAGTCACTTAACCTTTCTTCTGGACTGAACAGTTTGAGTTTGTGAGACTTCTGATAGGCAAGTACTAAAATAAACACTGGTGTATTGCTTGTGAGTCCTGGAGTGACATACAAGTTGTAACTGAATTTATCTAGTTTAATTATAAAAGCTAGTTGATTGTACTAGCTAGATGTAATTATGTGAAATATTTATGATTAAATTGATTTTTTATAAGTATTTATAAGTTATTGAGGGTGCTTGAAATCTAGAAAAATTTCTAGAACCTAATTTTTTCTTCAATTTTATTTATGTGATTTTGGGGTGTGGGAAGTTTTTTACTGGGAATTGAACCGAGGGCTTCACATATGTGAAGAAAGTGCTTGACCACTGACCTAAATTCCCTGCCCCTATTTATGTGATTCTTAAAGTACAGTCTCTTTCTGTAAAGGAAAACTAGCCCCAGTCCCTCTCTAAGTTGTGACTGTTAGCGGAAATAGGCTTATCTAAATTTTATATTGGTGGTTTTTCATTTTATGCAGAAATGATGTGACCCTATTTTCATAGAGCACTCTCTATGAACGACCTGGTCACTACTGGCTTGACAGAGATTCTCTCAAGCCTTTTAAAACTTGGAAATGCAGCTTAAGTTAGTGAGCTTTAAATCATTCATATAGGTATATGTACATAAACATACACATTATTTCAACAAGTAAGTGACTTCTTTACCAGCCTTTCCTTGAATATTTGTGATGCAGTTGATACCACTGGTTATAGCATGAGGAACAGGACCCACAGTCTAGACTGGATTAAATTTTGATTAAACTTCTTCAGCCATAACCTGATAAGAATCAGGTCCCATCTAGAAGTTCTCAGATTGCAGGCCTGTATTTTGTGAGCCAACATTAATGTTTACTGCCAGCCTTGTATAGCAATGCCGTTTGTAACTCATGTGACTTTTGGTAACTGTAGTTTGTGTCTATTAGTAGTTCGGGTTTTATAGAGGTAATCGTGGTTATTTGGACAAGCAGGGTGGGTCAATTCAATTATATTTAAAGTGCAATTAAGGAAATTAT